AACGCTAACCAGAAAAAATAATTCAAACCGTTTAAACTCTTCCCTATGAGTTACAAAGTCTTCATTTAGAAAAGTTATGACGTCTCATCATGAAAGCCAAGTTCCTTCGGAAGTCACGTGGCTGATGCCCAGAGCAACCATTAATTTAGGTAAATGCTAGAAATAGTAATCCAATGAGATATTAGGTCAGTGTTGACAAGACAATTAAACAGATAAGCGAACATAAAATGTCTATTCTGCATGGATTGGAACATAAATTAGTTACTTGAAAAAATGTATCAAGATTGAAATAAGAAACTTTCGAGGAAATTAACGAGGTGAAATATTGAATTAAGCATATTTCAATTAATTAGATCCTTACAAATATAATTGTTTATTAACTGAATAAAATACTCTGATTATGGTAGAAGAAATTAGTAGTTTAACTTATTGCTTCTGGTGATGTTCCATTCTTCTAGCAGGATGATTTTATTCGAAAGTCATGATTGTTGTCATGGATAACATTATTTGGATCAATCTTGATTAGAGATGAAGATTTTCCATTATTTCACAAGCTTTCAGTCTACCTATTCTATTGGTTGTATTTGTGACTTCAAATAAACTATAGATACAGTTTACTGGTGATAAATCTAATGATGGTTCACACAAAAAGAGTTTAAATCATAAAAGTATTTTTTACTTAATCAGTCTATGGCTTCATTTTTGTGTTCAGTTAGTTAATCATGGTTACTCGATAGAAAAAGACAATTTTCCCCTAATGCATATTCATCAATTCATCGATTGTTTAAAACATAACTAAATCAAACGAAAACGTTTTATGCAAGGCAAACTACAGAGTCGCAAAATATACAAAATACATTGAATGTTCAATTCGCCAATCAGCTAAATACATGCCTAATGTACAACTTTAACTATACCTAAAACTAATTTTCTGGGGGGGGGTTGTCTTTTTTTCCAGAGTTTTAAGTTGTTTTGTTACTGAGGTTCAGTATTAATTTGGATTTTCCTAAAAATTCTAAAGCGATATTAAGATGGTGGAGAAGATTTGTTGCTCAGATGGATATAAAGCGGTATCTAGTTTGATTCTTTTCAAAATTAATAATGTAGATTAGTATAGATGATAGATTAAGCCTTTTTTTTAAAAAAAAAATAATATGCATTCAAATTAATTAGCATTATTACTTCTTTTTTAAAAAAAGGATCGGTTCGGGTAAAGTAAAGGGTTTAGTTTTACAACGATAAACAATCATTACAAGATATTATCACTCAATTATATCTGCAAGTTAATATCGTATCATTTAAACAAGAAAGGATTGTACATGTTAACCGATTAATGAATGAATCTAGTTTTTAATGATTAAATTATGAAATTAATAATTTATTGTTAGAGATAATTCATTTAGACTTAAAAGATTTGATTGTTTAATGATACACTTTCATTTATAACTACAATCGCTTTGAATTTAACCATAATAATGTAATAGGATATAATTCACTTGATATTGTTTGGCTTGTATCTTTCCATTGAGATTTAAAACTGCAATTGATCAGTCTGTTATTGGCATATGTGCATACTGTGCGTATGCCTCGATATTAAGTTAATTCACATGTTATTTGTAAGCTGAGTGGATAATGCGGTGGCGTTTGAAGCGAATGGTACTGGGTTCGAGTTCCAGAGTGAACATCAACTCTCTGAGATGCAGGTACATCCAGCTGACGAGTCCCAGATAGGACGAAACATGCGTCCTGGATTCCACTGATAGGATATAATTGTTCGTAAATATTTATGAAGATAAATAATATTCTTAGGTTACTTATTATCATGTACTTTAAATTAATAATTTAATTTGATTATGAATTCGAATTACTTACGCCTGTTACTCCTAATGAAGCACAGGCTGCTGACTCACTCTGTTCTGGGCCTTCCTTTCTAATTCTATTCAATTCTTGTTCATTCTTATCATGTCTGTCTCTATTTTTCGGCGTAATGTGTTCTTTGGTCTTCCTCTTTTCCTTTGACCTTGAGGATTCCATATGAGGGCTTGTATTGTGACGCAGTTGAGTGCTTTCCTCAATATGTGTCCTAACCACTTCCAGCGCTTCTTCCTGATCCATTCCTCCACTGGGATCTGATTTGTTTTTTCCCACAGTAGATTGCTGCTATTAGTGTCTGGCCAACGAATCCGAAGTATTTTGCGTTAACAACTGTTAATAAACACTTGTATCTTCTGGATGATGATGGCTTTCATAGTTCTCCAAGTTTCCACCTCATACAGTACATCTGTCTTGACATTTGTATTGAAAATTCTGACCTCGATGTTGGTTGAGAGTTGTTTTGAGTTCCGAATGTTCTTCAGTTTTAGATATGCTGTTCTTACTTTGCCGGTCTTCACATCTGCATCATATCCACCGTGTTCATCAATGATGTTGCGCAGATATGTAAAAATGTTTACATCTTCCAAATCTTTTCCGTCATGTGTGATTTAATTGGTGCGTGTTGTGTTGTGTTGTATCGGAGAATCTTGTTTTTCCCTTTGTGTTTGTTGAGGCATACGAATTAGAGTTTAGTTTTGTGAAAAACAGTGCAGGAATTGGTATTTATAAAATTACGATTTCATGATGTAAAGCATGTTGGTTAAACCACTTGAATATTGAATAAAGAAAAAAATGAATATCTTAACAGAATAACATGAATTCATTCATTTTGTGAATTCTTCTCAATTTGTGTACAAGTTTACATGTACATGCCATAGTACATACGTCGAAAGAACAGAAAGTTGGGTTTGTGTCCACATCTCCGAAACTATTTCACGAATGTTGAGACTTGACGAACAGAAGATTTTCAACAGTGCAATTGCTTGTCATTTGCTTGACAGTGGTCATGATGTTGAGGTTGGACGCTTTTCAAATAATCAATAGCCAATGGGAATTCGAAATTACTACGCTTTGAAGAAGCGGTTGTAATACAATTTTTAATCTGATTCATGCATCCGACAAGAAACAGTCCTAAATCTTGTTTTACCCTAGTGACTTCATTTTTGTGAAATCATTAGGCAAGATATTTTCCCATAAACTTTGACTGTAATTTTGAATAACATATTTCTTGCTTCTGGGCATTATTCAAATGGTCTGTATTGTCAGTATGGGGTTCCAGGAATCGTTCGGTTGTGATCGAAACCACAAACCGATCAATGTTAAACCACCATTGAAAATTTGGAAGTATTAGACGGCCGTTTCATCTTAGTGCAAGTCTCCTTATCAGTGTGCACCCACGATTCCGCATGCGGGACTCGAACTCAGAACTTTCAGTCTCGTGTACGAACGCTTAACTGCTTAACGCTCAACCTCTAGACTATCTTACATAAACTGTCTTCTGTTTCAAAAATCTTGTGTCCATACTTTTCTAGAATATTCATATATTTAATCTCTAAATAAGCGAACGCTTGAAAAATGTTAATTCTTCTGTATTATTATAACTTTAATTGACTCATGAATTCAACTACTAAATTACTATAATCTCCACAAAACCCTTTTCCGAGAACAACTATCTTTTCTTGGATTTCAAGAAGTTGAGGAGAATGAGTTCATGTGACTCTGTTAAGATATTCACTTTTTCTTTATTTAAAATTCAAATGATTTAACCAACATGTACATTATGGACTCATTGCTTTATAACATAAACACAAGTTCTTGCATTGTTTTTCACAGAATAAAAGTCATATGCAAATCAACATGATTCACAAACTTAAATTACTATTAAAAATCGTAAGAACTGTTTGACCTTTTAATCTTGTTAATTAAATTTCAGCTTCAATTACATCAGCTTATTTAATTGAGCAGTTTTACTAATATTCCGTTGCTCCCCAAGCTCACTAAATGATTTTGATCTGTATTCATTAAATGGAGTAGTGTTTCCATGGTAAAAATATTCAACTTTTAATTGTAATGAAATGTTACTTAGAGCTTAGCATACAAATCTATTTTGCATAACTAAATGAATCCTATCTGGTAATAGATCCTTGAAAAAAATAATAAATTTTTAACAAATGTCAGTTATACACTAAACATTGTATTTTCTTATTATTCGTTCTATAATTTTGTATTTTCCAAACAGGATAATACAATACTCATTAGAATTCTTTTAGTAGATACTTTCTATTCCTTTTCAGACACATATATTTGTTCTTGAGTACGTTTCTTCTCGGCTTTCACCATGAAGCGTCATAATTCTTCTAAATGAAGACCTTCTAACTCCCAGGGCAGAGTTAAAATGGTTTGGATTATTTTTTCTGGTAAGCGTTTTTTTAGCGAGTTAGTTTTCTACGGGATGTGGACGCTAACCCCATGCCCAACCCTCCTCCTTTACCCGGGCTTGGGACCGGCAGCAACCCTATAAGAGCTACAGGCGGGTCGCATTCCTACAATTGAAAAACATATGGAACTCAAAACAACTTTCAACCAATATCAAAGTGAGAATCTTCTATACGAACGTCAAGGTAGTTCTACTGTATGGAGCTGAAACTTGGAGAACTACAACAACAACAATCAAGAAAGTACAAGTATTTATAAATAGCTGTCTTTGCAAGATACTCAACATCCATTGGCCGGATACCATCAGCAACAGCCTTCTGTGGGAGAGAACAAACCAACTTCCAGCTGAAGAAGAAATTAGGAAAAGACGGTGGAAATGAATAGGACATACAATACGTAAATCGTCAAACTGCATCACGAGGCAAGCCCTCACATGGAATCCTGAGGGGAAGCGAAAAAGAGGAAGGCCAAAGAACACATTGCGTCGGATAATAGAAGCAGATATGAAAACGATGAATTACAACTGGACGGAGCTAGAAAGGATTGCCCAGGACAGCGTTGGATGGAGAACGCTGGTGAGCGGCCTATGCTCCTTCACGAGGAGTAACAGGTGTAAGTAAGTAACGTTTCTTCTCATTCAAATGGTAATGATTGAATTAATTTTGATCTATTTACATAAACAAAGAAACCTTTTACAATAGTCATGTTTCTATTTCAAAACATTATAATAAGCAGAACTTATTGTAAAGAATTTTAGTGGAAAAAAAAGAGAACAGTTTTTTAAAAATTTTTTAAGACAACAAAACTTTTTTTTATTGTGATTATTGATGAAATTTTATATTTCCATGGAAAATGTAAACAAGTTTGAAATGTCGACAATCCATTATTTTTTTTCAATGTTTCAAGTAATTTGATGATTATAACCCATCGTACACATTTGATCAAACATAAAATCCTGGAGTAAAGAAGAAGAAGAAGAAGAAGAAGAAATAAGGCAAGAAATAATGAGATTGAATTAAGCAACAATAAATTCAGAGACATTGAAGAAATGTTTGTTCTAATTTTGTAGTTTAAATGAGTAATTTTATTGTTGTCGAAAGCCTACATGAAGTAAGTAGTGATGATATTACTCTAAAATGACAATGAAAACTCAAGAAATTTAAGAATACCAAAAGTGTATTTAATATTCTTTGGTCTAAATATCTTATTACGATAATAAACCATTAAAGCGATTGGTCCCTTTTATCAATTTCGATGGAACAATGAGAAGACGAAGTTGATCTGAAAAATGTGATGTACATTTCGAAGAATCATATAAAATGCTCTGACAAGTATATGTGTGATCAAATTGTTCGAAATGCGTAGCACAAATACATCACATTTTTCAGATCAACTCCATCTTCTCATTGTTCTATCAAAATAAACCATTAGCAAATTTGATCGACATAATAATCATTCAGTTTCTAAGTAGTTAACGATAAATCACTTAGTCTAAATCAAGAATTGATTGATCTGAGGATGACGCTTCTAAAACAAATTATGATCTATAGAAGCCTTAAATTATAATCATTTAGAAATCATTAAATATACTGAAATAGATTCAATCTATCAAATAATCGGAAAAATGACAAAATCAGAGAATATAGCAGTTAGACAACAAATGAATACGATGACAGTGTGATCATTAGCAACAATTAACTAATTTCTCTATCGACAAAACATGAGTTTAATCATTTCTGTAAAAAGTATAATGGCTTACTGCTTTTTGAAATAGTCACCTATAATATTATTAAAGGAGAAATCATTACTATTATTTTCCCTGAAAATACTTTGTTAGTCGAAGTAGTTATGGCACAAATATATCCTCCCTTCTCAGATCGAATCGATTTTCTCGTTACAATTTAGAAGTTTATACAAGTGACTGATCACTTTAAGAGTTTCCTGTCGTACATGTCATTTCAAATTGAAAAAATAATAATATCAGAAAGATCATTTTGAACGGTAAACACAATCTGGATTCTCACATTAAACAAATTAAATCTCAAGGGTTTTGTGTTTTCGTAGCAAGACGGTTTATCTGTGAAGCTTTAAAGTATGTGCTGATGATGATTTATCTAGGGACATTAAAAGCCTTACAATTAAACCATCCAGCTTAGAGAATACAACACCTCCAAAATCATCGTCCTCAACTATAAGTATTTTCTATGATCTCGGTAAATTAAATCTTTATTCTGTGAAACATCATTTATCAGTATAATTTTTTTTTATAAACTTACTTTAACCATAATAAGAATAAAATGATTGATCAATTTTACGATTTTTTTTCTCTATAGTATCTTGATAAAACGGTGCTCTGTATGGTCGTAAATATGCACTGGGATATAAGAATCTTGGTCGACTTGACCATAAACGTTCATATTCTGGTGAATAACTGTCAGGTAATTCCATTATTTCATTGTTTGTGCGCATACTCAGTGTACTGTTTACTAGTAAAACTAGAAAATAATCATAGAAAAATAACTCGTTATTGATTTATTGTGTATGGAAACCATTAAATTTAAAGAGCACATTATGTATTTACATGTTATACAAAATAAAATCCAGAAAAAGTTTATTTATTAAATTAGAGATCGAATATCATGATCATTAACAAATCGTAACGATTTGTTCTTGTCAATAGTTATTTCAGTAAACAACCCCCCCCCTTTAAGACATTAAATAAGAAGGAATGATTCAGCGAAGTGTTCTCTTTTTGGCGAATCCATTTTCAAAGCTGTACAATCGCAAATACATTTACTGATATTTTCAAGATGATAATAATTACAATAATAATGATAATAAACTTCTGTTAGACATGATGACAGTGAGGTAGAATAAACAAAGGTATTAAATTTTTTTAAACTGGGAAACTAATAATCATTTGATTGTTAATGGTTTAAATATTTCACAGGTTGAAATCATGAGTCGATTGAAGCTAGATCACCATGGAAAACCTGAGAGCATTGGACGGCCGTTTCGTCCTAGTACGGGACTCCTCAGCAGTGCGCATCCACGATCCCGCACCACGCGGGGCTCGAAACCAGGACCTACTGGCTTCGCGCGCGAGCACTTAAGCACTAGACAGATAGAAAGAGAAATTGTCATTGGGAGATGGTGGCTTAGCATGATAAGATAAAATGTTGAAACTGTGATTAAATGTAATCAACAGGATCGTAGAATTCTAAATAAACCAGTTGGGAATAGAAAATGTATGGAGGAGATGAAAGGGGAAGCAGAGTATGAAGAAAAATAATAATAAGACATTAAGATCGTGGTAAAAGAGGAGATTAGATCAATCTCTTTTGGATACACAATTCTGGTTTTTCTAGATGTACGGCTATCGCTTCGGCAATTCTAAAAGGATGCAACCTAATTGTCTTTGGAAGACTTCAATAATCAAACACCTTGTGAACACAGGTCACTCAATCAAGACAGATTCTGCGCTCACAGTCATCTACAAGGTAAGCCTGTTACTATTAAGAAATAGATCGGTTATGAAAATGTGATATTATTTGAATAACAGTTACAAATCGACTTTTGTTGGAAACTAAAGATATGTGGTTCATGTTTTATAAATCATATTCTCAAAACTTAATACTTTGTAAATATTAATTTGGTTTATAATATTCATTTACTAAGCTTGATATAATGAATAGAAACAGACATCGAGTCAACATATTCTTTTATTATTAAGTCGTCTATCTATTGACTTTTAGAGATGATATTTTGCTTCTAAATGCTTTGTCTTAGTTATACACTTATGTTAATCTGCACTTATAAGTGATGTCCATATGATTGTATTCGGAAGAAATAGGCCATTGAAAAATATTTCATAAAATCATCGGGATCTACATTAACTTTGTAAAATCGAATATAAAATATTACGTCAATGTTTAGATGACACATAATTTATTTCTTAAACAACTTAGGTTGATTGCACAAGGATATGTACTAACTAACTGAGGTTGTAATATGTTATACATCCGCAAATACAGTCCATGCAGAATTATCTGCTAAAGTCGAATTAAGCTTAGAAAATAGTAATCAAAATAAAAAAGGTTATGAAGTGGTGGTGAAGTTATTATGTGATTGGGTAGTCACTCAACATGATAAAAAAAATGTAAACAGTTGAATTCATTAGTCACTCTAAACTAGACAACCATTAAAAATCTAGAAGCACTGGATGGCCGTTTTGTCCTAGTATGTGACTCTTCGACAGTCATATCCGCGATCCCGCCCATCGGGATTCGAGCCCAGGACCAGGTGGGATCGTGGTTGCTGACTGCTGAGGAGTCCCACAATGAAACGAAACGACCATTCAGTGCTTCCAGGTTTTCCATGATGGTCCAGTTTCAATTGACTCATGATCTCAGCCATTGAAAGATTTGTTAGCAGTTAGAACAATAAGTATAATTTTCGCTTGCATGCAGTTGATGAGAAACAGTGAAAAAGAATAAATGCATTTTGTTCTCCAAACACCGTTATTCTTACTTTATTGAAATTGTTTTCTGTTTCTTCTGAATTGTTATATTTACTCGTTGTTTGAAAAATATTCAAGTATACAAAGCTCTAATGTGATTAAGTTGTACGTATTACATCAACCATTTTACTATTTATCATGTACAGTTCGTTTTATTGTACAAATGTGAAATATGCTTTCTTGAGTGTTATACACAAATGTGAGTTAGATTTAACATTTTTCTCATTTTGTATTGTTTTCTTTCTGAAAAAATCTTTCTGTTGATGTTTACGACTGTAATTGATCAGTCTTTTATTGGCATACATACATCCCGAGTGTATTGCCTCAATATTGCCTTAAGTCAGCTGACAAATTTCCAAGTAAGATGAATCGCGCGTAAAACTGGATTCCATTACTAGCCGTCATCCATCTTTAGTTAGTTTATTTAATTAAATCTTATCGTTTTAATAATTCTTTCAGTTTAATGCTGTTACCTACTACTAGTTCGATGTTACAGTGAGAAAACAAAATAATCAAAATCTAAATGACAATGAATTGTTCATAATTAATCTAAATTTGTCTTGTTACATTAGTCTTTTTATAATGACTTCACAATGGTAAATAATTTTCATTTGATTTCAATGTAAAATCAAAATAGTATTCTCTTAAATTGAGTCTATTTTATAAGTTTCTTTTCTAAAATGAAAACATACAATACAGGTTAACTGGTCTTTAAAAAAACATAATAAAATTCGGAAATATAACAGTAATAGTAGTAATAATAATAATATTGTTGTTGTAGTAGTAGATTAGGCATTTCCATTCTCTTACGAGAATAACTGTGGTTACCGGTTATGGTAATTACAAATAATAGTGTTTAGTAAACATGATATATATATATGTTTCAGTTTTTCAATTTCCGACATATAAGATTGACAAAAATCATTGTATGATTTGTCAATCATTGAAACGAATAATAATTTAAAAGGTTTCAACATCATTTCTATCAAAATAAACTTGAATGTGTTTTTTTTGTGTGTGTGTGTTGTACATTTATTTACTTCTTTAGTGATGTAGGAACAGAGGGCGGAGGCGGGGGGGGGAACAAGAGAAAATCAGGAACTTTTGTAATGATTTTTTTTAACAAAAAATTTGTTTATTATTTTCTTTTTTTTTGCAAAAATTACATTCACAAGTAACCGTAGGGAGAAAAAACATTCTGAAAATGGTAATAAAGGAATATGTTTTAAATTCTTGAAAATAGGTTTGAAGTTACATTATTATTATTATTTTAGAAAGGAATGGTTGATAATTGGAATCAAATAGTATTATGGGACGCTAAGGTCTATTGTGTTGTGTACAACCTATGTCGACAGAGATAAATAGTATGTAACACCAGTCGAAAGTGGAATCTCAAGTAGCAGAAAGTTAAGACGTTCAAATAGAAGAGAATGGAAACAGAAAGTGATTGGTATGAAAACGAAGTAACAATCAAGTCTGAAATAATTGATGAACATTATGTGAATGAAGTATTGAACATATGTTATTCATATTTTTTACAAATGATTATGTAATTTTGTACTCATATACATTTGATTGTGTCTATTTGTATTCGCGCTCACAACACTATGCTTTCATGTTTAATAATACTTACTTGTAGGGCAAACAGGGACTGAATATCATCAGACTTATTCAAGTTATTTAACTTCCGATAAAGTACACCGTAATATTGAATTATTTATACTATTAACTAGATGGAATTCAGCAAATTCTTAGTATTAGACAAAATGATATTGGTTACTATTGCTAAACGTTTATTTTATGTGAACATTATATTCAATAAACCTATTGTAAAGCTTCAGATATTAATTCAAATCAAAGATTGGAAATAAATGGTCGATTTGAAGCAAACACTTTCATTTTGGAAATAACTAATATGAGGAGGAGATACAACTCAAATTAGATTTTAAGTGGATTCATCTTTGTTGGATTAGGTAGCAGTCCACCTAAAGTTTGTGCTGTTGATGTCGTTCAGAAGAACGATGAAAGCTCCACGACCAAATCACCGAACTCAGAGAACAAAACTCCACCCAAATCATCCACCTGAGCTACAAATCCTCTCCATCATCTCGGATTCATCTTTCGTTTCGTTTTCAATTTAATCTTCTGTATACTATATATTTCTGTTAATTTACAGTCATATTCATTCAGTATAACATGTGGCGTTCGTTTTGCAGTAGTTCAAGGAAAAACCCAAATGAAGTTTCCTCTATTTTAGTTGCGCATGGCGCTTATTAATTTATTATCAAATACTATACAGAATAGGTAGTTTTTTAATACGATTATCCATTATAATAACGAATAAGTTTCAAAACATTACTTAAATGGATTTAAGTAGTTTACTAAGGAAATAAATTTCAACGGAACCTCATATATATATATTTCATAGCTGTACGGTAAATGTACTATGTTGCACACTGACTAATTGCGGACCAATCCTAATGCCTATTACCAATGACCGTTGAACAACAGACAAGTTTAATTATTTACCGATTTGTTCATATCAGTGTGCTAAACATTTGTTTGTATAATCAAATATATCTGTTTTTGTGTATTTAATAATGAATATAAAATGTTATGATGTAATCATTTACATTCTGTTCCGAGTAGTAGCGAACTATAGTGGATTTCTACATCTATAAGACTACAATACTGGGAACTCGTGCTCTTTAAAGAATAACTTGAAAATATTAACTTGTATTGAATAATAAAGAGATTTATTTGAGAATACACTTGGAATAAATTTATTAAAAAGTTATTTATTCATGTCTCAAATACGCAGTCTTAAGCGTTTTCAAAACTGTGCAAATTTATTTTTTATAAAGCGTTGTCATAATTCAGTAGACAGACTCCATAAGGGGTAACAGGAGTACGTAAATAAGGTTGATATAATGTTTATTGATTGGTACTACAGTTTTGTCAAAATACCAACCATTTTCTAATTAGATCATGCAGAATAAGTATCAGTATTACCTTCATATATATATGCATACCGCAAACTGTCTGAAATAACAAAAAAAAATCGCTGTTCCAACCTAATGACTCGGATCTGTGATACTCTTTATGGAGTGTGAATATTTGTGATTGAATCCTATGTAAGATAGTGAATAGAATTTATTGAAATATCTCTAATAATAAAAAAAATTTACGAAGTAGTTCTTTAAGTTTAAACCGTTTACTAACTACTAACATAATAACCTTAGAATACATGCATACATATATAGGGACATTTTAGTTTTCTCTTTAATTAATCCTAATAAATATTAGTCCCTAATAAATAAGAACTTTCGTCTAAATTTGAACGAATAGTTTCACAATATTTGGGCGCCGAATTAATGTGAGACATTAAAAAGAAGAATATATTTGTAAAATCTCAGCGAATGAATTTTAAGTAAATCCAACGTTTCGCCTGGCAATTTGGTCCAAGCTTGTTGTTTGATTATATTTTCCTTGAAAAAGCTTGGACCAGATTTCCAGGCAAAACGTTGGATTTACTTAAAATTCATTCGCTGAGATTTTACAAATATATTCTTCTTTTTAATTAATCCTTATTGTACTACTACTTTATTTGTGGTAGATATACATTGATATGATACAACTAAACTAAATTTTACATTTAATCTCTTGAAAAGAAAAAAAAATTAATTAAACTAATTTGTTCGTTTAGCTTAAAAGTAAATTATAATCACAATAAAAATATGAGATTATAGTGATTATTTTCCTTTTTATTGGTTTTCTTTTTTGTTGTTGTTGTTGTTGTTGTTGATTGTTTCTCCCTTCTACCCAATATATGTTACAAATACAGAATAGAAGTACACAAAGAATATAGAACAGAAAAATCTACACTTTAGCATTATATATATATATGGATAACTTACTAAGACAAATGAGCAGTGCAATACATGTGAAAGTCACCGATTTATTTATTCTGAACATCGTTGGGTTCTGATAGAAATCTATAACGGAGTAAAAATAAAAATAATAGTTATTAATTAATGGCTTTATTCAATATGATATTTTGGCACAATATAGAAATTCTCAGCACAGGGTATTTCAACAAGGACAGGGTTGGATCAAGAATGCTGGTGAGTGGCCTATGCTCCTTTCACGAGGAGTAACGGGCGTAAGTAAAATAAAGTAAGTAAGGTATTATAAAACTCTTATACTTTTGCTTGCGTGCATGGATTTTAATGTAATTACGTCTCGTTCGACCAGAAGATATACATGGAGAAAGATAAGAGTGAAGGGGATGGTTAGCATCTGATAAAATATCACCTGCCAGGAGTTTGCATGACTTTAGACATCTATCAGCAACCACATTAGTTATGACCTTGAAAGATTCACCACACACCTTGCTAACTGCCTTCAGCACTCTCCGCAATACAGCAAAGTGTTTTCTCAAAAGCCCGGGAAAGAATAATGGAGAAGAGTAGAGAATAATAGGTAATATGCAAGAATCGACAAATTGTAAGAGTAAATGACGAGTAATCCCAAGAGCATGCAATCTCTTTATGTAGTAAGTTAGATGGAAAACCTTCTTCGATAACAATTAAACGTGAGAAGACCAAGAGAGATCAAAGAAAAAGGTGACGCCAATATAATTGACTTTCGACACTGTGTTTATCGAAGAGTCTCAAATGGTACAAGCATTATGGGATCTCAAAATGGTGGAATAAACTTTCTTTTTTTATCCGGAAAAAGAAATAATCATTGACAACTACTATATTTTTATAATCTTTATAGCCTAGTTTTTTTTCCTAGATTATGATTTTTTTGTCGTTGTTGTTATGTAAACAATTTTTTAATTGATTTAGTAATAATGACCTGTAAAGCAAAAAAGCAAACAAATAAATAACCGATCGAATTTTATTGAATCATAAATTTTGGTTCTGTAAAGATCATATGCTTATTGATGTATTCAATGATATTCTTATTTTTTGTCAGTAGGTCGTATTATCTGAATGTAAATTTGTCAATTGACAAACCGTTAAAATCTGGAGGACTAAGAAATAGATATATCGTGCTTGCGCAAAAAACCAGTAGGTCCTGGGTTTGAATCCCGCGGGGTACGGGATCGTGGATGCGCACTGCCTAGTCCCATACTAGAACGAAAAGGCCGTCCAGTGCTTCCAGGTTTTCCATGGTGATCTAGCTTTAATTGACTGATGATTTCAACCTGTGAAATATCGTTTTAGTTTGAAAAACATTTTAGTAAATACAATATCTGACTACGTATATTCAAATCTCATATAGGTTAGAAAAATCTGAGGATTTCTGGCATTATCATTTTCATTCAGTATCAATGGATAGAAAATTTACTAATACTGAATGGATTTATATTGTCCTTTCAACTGAGAAATCATGAAGTTCAACAATTAGTGATTATATTATCACATTGTCAATAACTCAAAAGACTATGCTTTCACTGATAGTAATTTTCAGACTTCATCTGAAAAACAAATACTAACCAATGATCATTTGACAGTAATTTTGTAACAGTCTGCGACTTATCGAGCTGTTGTGTATATAATTCTGATATATTGCGACACGGATACAGGTTGCATATACTTTTCCTTACTTTTAGTAACGCATTAACAGAATTCCAAAAACTGCTTATTTTGTTCATCGACAAGGTAATTAATTTTTTTTTCATAGTGTTTTTCCTTTAATTATTTGTGAGTAACGGATACTACTGTTGATGATGTTGTGAAAAGAATGGACGCCAACCACCGAAAATCCAATGAATTACAATTCTTAATGAATTCTATGAACAGTAAGACCTTAGAAATTACAACAGCGGTTACTACTCAGTGATAATTCACTTCAAATATCTTAGTTTTACAAACGTCGGAAAATTTTAAAGATAACGTTTTTAAATTTGGTGTTATCTAACGTTGACTGAAAATTCAGTAGTGTATAAATTCTCTTAATCCTGGGAATTCATTTTGCTGGCTGACACCAATCAGCACAAAATCTTGATCAAACAGGACTTCATGTCAATTGTCTCTAACAAAACACGATAGATATTTCATATAAATTTATATAATTTCTAAACTTGTGAAATATATATATATATAAGCAAACAGCATAGAAGAATGCGATCATGCGTAAATCAAGACAAGTAAACAACACTATACATAGACGACACTGTTATTACTTCCTGCCTGATTAAATGTAGAAATGTTAATTTTGTTATTATACTATTATAGCCAAGTAAATAATTTTGTCATTAATTATTAATAGAATAAAATAACGAGTTTAACCCTATATTCTACTCGTTTTTCAGTTCACAACTCATTTTTTATAACCACTTTGGAGTGTTTTTCTCGTAAGAAGTAGTCAGTTTTAAAATACATACATATTACAGATTAAAATTAAAACAAACAAACGATTATGACCAAGGATGAATGTTGCCTAAAAGAAGAATTCAGAAAGCGCGTTTCGTCCTATTTAGGATTTATCAATTGGATATACCTGCACCCGAGTTGATGTTCGCCTCGGGATTCGAACCCAGTACCTTTCGCCCCAAACACCACTGCGTTATCCACTTAACTACAGAGTCCTGATAGCTACCAACTTGTGCAATACAACAACAATACAAAATGAATTAAAACAAACAACTATTTTAAAGTTCATTAATCTATCCATTTCGTGAAACAAAGCATATGTACGAATGGAGGTTTTTATGTTTTGGATTAGATCCATGATGAAAAATGTTATAGGACCGAAGTTACATTAGAATCATTTATAGGTCATTAATATTATGACGAAAAAAAGTCACAAGAAAAAAGAAAACCCTTTCTTCTAATTCTACTACTTTTATCTTCAAAAAACTTAGTACTGCCGTCAGTAATAGTTAACTTGGTTAGTTTAAATAACGATATTTTAGCATGTTACTCATTAGTATCTTATATCTAATGGATTATTCGATATTATTGCATGATTAATGACTTGATTAAGTTAGGGTATAATTCGCGTCGTAAGAGATGATACATAAAAAAATTATAGTCAGATGATAAATGATATAATCTTACTATTCAATGTATTTATTCTTATTAAACAGAATTAAGTATTTATAAATACCTGGGTCAAACTCCCTTAATGACTCCTTCTAAGCCAACTAAAAACAATCAAATTTAAACTACTAAAAATAATTGTTGAGTACCAAGGTTTCAAAAACACTTATCCTGTTGTTTAATTAAAATACTATTTAATTTCGTTCATTATCTTTTCATAAAAATTTCAGTGTAATATGCCTACTTCTAAGAGTACATTCAGTATATAGAACATGTGTTTATTGTGAGATTACAGTACTTACATAATGAATATACATAGCCTTTGATTATTGGCTTGCATCTTGTTGTGTGTTCTGCAATTTAAACTGACTTTTAGTCCAATCTTTAAATGTTCTTCCTATACTGTGCTTTTGATATACTGAAACCAATCTTTCTGTCTGATGATTGTGAAAGCTTCGAGGTCACGGACCACTTTATACTACTTACAAGCAATCGTACAACTAGGATTCACCCCAATAGTACTTCAGATGTTTTAAACATAATATATATCAATTAACTATAAAATATTTATTGGTTGATGTACACGGAAAACTTTTGATATTTAGAGCGTTTGAGATTGTGTGATATGTCATGTTGCAATGGTTCTTACCCTAGTCGATACTACCATCAAACTACAAATAATCATAATGTCTTTTGACTAAAATGTTAACAGTATTAAGCAACAGAACGAAACTACATCATTTATTCTATGAATGGAATCTCAAAACTATTATATTAACGATTAATATGAACTGTGTACTAGTTATGCAACATTACCATGTATGTAAACGATTTGAATCAATGATAGGACAACCAATTGTCAATAAATTAATTATTGAAAAAGGAACATGTCGTAATCTAAATGTTACACATGTTTTAAATTATCACTTGCTTAAGAGTCACTTGTTGGATTATATTTATACTAATTACGCAATGCTAAACTTAATTTATATCTTAAACTGTTAATTTTGGATGAGATAATCAAAATTCTTTGGTAAAATGTGAAAACCCCCACATGAAATACTTCATTTGCAAATCTTCCATCAGTTGTATCTTATAAGCTTCATCGTTCTTTCAATGATATTACAATTACTATCTGTTTGCATTCCTGTTTTCTTCAATTCAATCTTCTCAACTCTCTGCTATCATGCAGTCCAAATTCGACGGATGTCACATACTACTTATATCTGTCAACATAAGTAGCATACATAATTAAATAATAACTGAAATTATATTTTCTCATCTAGGCGTCTTATTTAATATCAAATTGTTAAATATAAAACTGAGATAGTCGGTTAAATGCTTAATCATATCATAATTAAATAAAGGCTGTCCTTTTGTAATGAATGATTTGGTAAGCTTTTTTTTAACAAGTTAATATTCAATTTATTCCCATTAGTAGACCTGTACTGATAAATCAGCGGGCAAATAAAAACGTGACGTGAAAAAAACACACGATGTTTATCTGTGTAATCTAAGTTTGCGAAGATTTTTTTTTAACATGAAAGGATCCTGTTTTTTTTTGCAAATCTAAAACAAAATTGTTATTTTAAAGTAAATAAATACTAAAGAAACTGTCGCATACGTTTCCAGGAAAATCTTATTGATCAAACAATTGTAATACTAAGAAATATAAGTAAATGAGTAAAAGGTTGCTTGAAGATCTTTATAAAAGTAGAATGATCAAATCAATCACCTGTCGATAAGCAAAGAAAGCTTCATATTCAATTCCTGATAGAATCATGGTCGTTGAGAACTTCATACCATAGTAAAGTAGTTGTTGATTACAACCTATCTTTCGAGATTTCTCTAACTAATATCAGTTGAAAATAACAATAATTCTCAGAATACACAAATTAATTTATTTTTCCTTAACAGGACGATGATTCTTGGTTTAATAA